CTCTGGGTGGGATGTGACATGCCCAGGGTCACAGAGCAAGGAGTGAGGAGTGAGGAGCTGGCTCAGCCTCCAAAGTCCCTTCATGTGACCCTCGTTCTCTATGGCACAAGTTCTCATGACATGCTCCTGTGACCAAACTGTTCGCCTCACCTGACAGTGGATGAGAAAAATAGATTCTCAGGCCCCGCCCTAGACCTGTGGAATGAACTCTGGGGAGGAGGCCCACTAATCTGTTTAATCAACCTTCTAGAGGGTTCCAATACAAACTCAAGTTAGAGAACCCTGTCTAGGGCCTCCTATCACCACAGCCTGTGCCAAGCACAGCTGCCCCAGGCAAGTGCCATCTTGGCCTCCGCTCCCCCATGTCATGGATTCCAGATTTGGTTTGGGAAACCCATGTTCTTGCCAGTTTCTTGGTAAAATAAAGCAAATCAAGTACTCCATTGCCCCCCCCAAAAAAACAACTTCAAAACCCACCTTCCCCTTGCCAAAAGGAGGGTCCCCCGGATTGAGGGTCTCCCAGCACACAGAATTTTCAGGAGTAACACCAGGAGAGTTCTGGGTAAACTGAGACAAGTTAGTTATGCCAAGAAACAGGGAAGCCACAGGGTGTTGCAAGGATGACAAAGGAAGTCCTCCCAGCCACATAGAAACCACCCAACAATTCCTGAAAGGTTTCCCACGGGTCTGCATGAATTGACATTTCTCTCTCTCAATTCTTCCTTCTTCTATTCCAGGTCGTTCATGAAGCCCACCCTCCTACGGATTGATGACCCTTCAGCAGAGTCTCCTGCCTGCTCTGCGGGCTCCTAATTCTGGGCCTCTGCGGCCATTTCTGGCTAACACAATGCTTCTTGATTTGAACGACCAGGGATTCGGTTTTCCCTTTTGGGACTGAATATCTCCTCCCCAGTAGTGCCTTTTGGTTCTCTGAGTCTAGCTGACTCTCACAAGCTTTTTTTTTTTTTTTTTCATCAGAATGGTTTGCAAAGGATGACTAACCACAATGGATACTTGTCTAAGTTTCAAAAGAACTTGTCACTTTGGAGAATGCTGAAGTCAACTCTGTAGGGTGGGAGTGAGCCCAGAACCTGTTTTCTAGAAGAACCTGAGGCTTGAGTCAACCATGATTGGTCAAGGATGGACATGTGACCTGAGTTGGTCCAATTAAAGTCAGTCCCAGACTTATTCTTTCTTTTTTTTGTGTGTGCGTGATTTTTTTTTTTTTTTTGAGATAGGGTCCAGACTGGCTTCAAACCACGATCCTCCTGATTTCTGCCTCCTGAATAGGTGTGAGTCACCAGCGCCTAGCTAGGACTTTTTCTTATGAAAGAAAAGTCCTCTTTGTTGGGGATCCTGCCTGGAAGGTTGATGGGGTCCTGGAGTCTAGAGCCACAGGGACTGGGTGAGTGTGAGAAATAAGGCAACCAAGAGAAAGCAGAAGGGACAGACAAAGAGACAAGAATAGAGATAAAAATCCAAAACCATCATCATTTGAGACCATGTATCCAGCAGTTCTGCTACTGGAATATTCTGATACAGGAGCCAAAAAGCTACCAACCCTCTCCCTAATTTTTGTGTTGCTAAAGTCACTTCAGAACCATTTCTGCTTTATACAACTAAAAACATCCAGCCATAGTATCAAACTGCACTCACTCTCTTCTCACTCAGAAGCTCCGCAGGCCCCACCTCAACATTTGTCCCCTCTCCCCACAGGACATATGCCCTGGCCTCCTCCTGGTCTCTATGGCCCCCATCCTGGCTTCAGGACTCATGGGTATTCTGGGGGTTGAATAGTCTCAAGACATCCCCCAACAACATCCCCAGCCGGTGTCAAATCAATCCCAACTCACCCTCCATATTGGTGAAGGTTGGTCTCTCTGAACCACAGTGTACAGGATCAGGCCACTTCCTGTTTAATATCTCTGACCTCAACACTGCCCACAACAGTTTCCTAAGCGATGTGTCCTGGCGCCTACAGGTGAGTGGACTTTACCTGGTACAAAGCCCAGAACTCAAACACACTGAAACCGACTATAAGTTTAGATCTGGAATGTCCCCCAAGGCCATGTGTTGAGGCTTGGTCCCCAGCCTGTAGTGCTCTGGGAGATGGTGGAACCTTTAGGAGGTGGGGCCTAGCGAAAGAATGTTAGGTTACTGGTGATGTGTCCTAGAAGGAGACACTGAGACCCCAGCCTTGGTCCCTTTCTTTGCTTCTAGCTGCCTTGAGGTGAGAGGCTACCTCTATCCCACACTGTCACCATGATGTACTGTGCTGCCCCATGTTCAGAGCAACAGGGCTAAGTGACCATGGACTGAAACCTCTGAAACTGTGAGTTTATCTGAGCCTTTTCCCTTAGTAAGTTGATTATCTTAGGTATTTTGTTACAGTCACAGAAAGCTGACTAGCACGAGCCTATAACAAAACCATAACTCTTTTTGTTTTGATTCTCTCATGAACCTTACTGCTTTATAAAGGCTCAGCATGGTTCTACCTATGGCTTTGACCCTTCCTGAACCCTTGCTCCTCTCCCTTTTTAACAAAAATAGAAGGCCACAATCTTAGAACCTGCCAAAGAAGGCTAGAATTTAAAACATTGGTTTATTTTCATTGCTTTTTTTTTTTTTGGTGGAACTGGAGTTTGAACTTGGAGCTCCACACTTGCAAAGCAGGTGCTCTACAGCTTGAGCCACACCTACAGTCCATTTTTCTCTGGTTTTTTTTTTTGAAGATGGGGTCTCATGAACTATTTGCTCAGAGGGCCTCAAACCTTGATCCTCCCAATCTCAGCCTCCCAAGTAGATAAGATTACAGGTGTGAGCTGCCAGGGCCTGGCTCATTACATTTATTTTATGGGCTTTTAAGCAAGTGACACTGTTTTCTCATTTGTAGTAGTTTTATAAACTTTCTTTGGAAATTATTTTGTATACACAGAATGTGAGTCTAGGTAAGGAAAAAAGTAAGGCAAATAAAGATAGTACTTGGATATGATGGCATTGATAAAACAAGATTTACCCAGCCGGGCACTCAGGCTCCTGAAGAGCTGCCCCTTGGCCACTCCTTCAAGCCCGGCTACGGCTTGAAGCCGGTGATTCATCCACCAATGCTCATGTTGAAGCTTGGTTGCCAGTGCAGTGGTGGTAGGAGGTGAGGCCCTTTAAGTCACCTTTCTCAGGAGACTGGATTGGTTCTCTCGGGAATGGATTAGTTCCACGAGAGCGGGATGTCCTGGCCCCCTTGTTCCTCTTCTGCAAGTACTAACTGCCCTTGAGCTCTTTTCTGCTATGTCATGAAACAGCATGAAGCCCATAGCAGATGCTGCTGCTCAGTCTATGCCTTCAGAGCCACGAACCAAAATAAACCTCCAAACTGCTCAGAATCAGGTATTTGTTATAGCCACAGAAAATGGACTTAGACAAATCGCCTGAAGGACTGTGACCCCCCCCCCCAAGATGGGACTCACTCAGTCATACCTCCAAGCCATCTTCCATGCTGTTCCCTGTGCCTGGATACCCTTTCCTACAACCTCCTTACCAACCTGGAACAATCCCATTTATTCTTGAATCCTGATCGATGTTACTGTTTACTGGGGCTGTCCTTTGCCTAACTCTTTTGGGAATTTCCAGTGTCCCTGGCAAACAACTTCTGTGTTCTCTGAAGTGACTCTTTGTGGGCTGCTGATAGGACAGCCTTCCTGGTGGGGGCTAAGAGATCCCAGAAGACCAAGATGGGCCTTTATCCCTGTGTCTGGCAAGGATGCTCTATGCAAGAGGAATTGAAGGGACCCTGGCCAAGGATTGAAGGGAGCGTGGCCAAGGATTGGCACATGGGCCAAGGAGAGAGTGGGAGGAAAGAACTTCTCAGAAAGAGAGGGGAGTGATCTCCAGGGGAAGGTGTCTGAGGCCAGGCCCCTCAGCATAGGCCCAGGGACTCCTTCAGGAGGCTGGAGGCCAATAAGCATAGTGGAATAGAAGGATTCTGCCAAGGCCTGGGACAGGTGGCCCCAGGGGCCTAGATTCTCCATGGGACTCTGCATTCAAATTGCTACAGAGCTGTTATGGTGACAATTCCCAAACCCACTTAGAAAACTCTGATTCCACAGATGCTATACTTTAAAGCCAAGGGTTTAGGCAATGCCATAGGGTTCCAGAAAGGGATGGAGACAGGTAGGGGCCTGGCAGACAAAATGCAGAAATTCATACAAGCTGCAAAGATGTCCCAGAACACTGTATCACCGACTGGTTACCAAGAGGCTGGAAACAGATCTTCCCAGTCAGCAAGCCTCTGTCAAGGTTATCTAAAATACACCCCAAATAATTTTATGTGTTTAATGAGGTAGAGCAAGGCCTGATTGCAGGCATCCTGCAGCCAAAACTGAAGCGATCCATCTAGAAATACAGCATCTTATCAACCAGCAATTGTAAGCAGGAAACTCAGCAGTGCAGAGCTGAGGGCTGAGGCACTGCTGGCTGAAGAACCGCTCCTTTGTTAGAATGACCAGGCAATGGACTTGCCCAGAGATGCGATCACCAGAGGAGGCCACAGAATTGGGTATAAATGGCCAAGGCACCAGTGGAACCTGGTTTCCAGAGCCTTGCCTTTGATCCTATCCTAACTGCATCCTTAAACATGAATTAAAATGGGGGAAAAAGGAAGCCTGTGTCGCTGGGTGGGGTATTTAAGACAGCACCCAGCAGCCGCCCCCCCTTAAAGATCTGGCCTTTGCAACACTCCAGGCCAGGTCACTCATCAAATGGAGATTGACTTTTATCCGATTAACCAATGGAGATACATCCTTTCCCATCTTGCAGGAGCATTCTGTGGGAACGGCATTTTGCAGACTGCAGGGAAAAGTTGGGTCTTGGCTTCTCTCCCGCTCGGCCAGTGGAAAATTACAAAGGAGGCAGGACTGTCCTAGGCCTCGCTCGCCAGTTCTTCTTGGGCCCAGGAAAACACACAGAGTAACCCAAAAAAATGTGTGAGCCAAACCTTTACCTACCTGGGGCGGAGAGCAGTCTAGGAGGCGGTGGGGGTGGGGGTGGTGGGGGCAGTGGGGGCGGAGGCCGGCACTGGCAGATGTGTTGGCAGCTGTCGGTCACCTTGGAGCAGGACTTCTGGGGTTCACCATGCGTCACCTGCAGATATGAGCACATCCAGGAGATATAGAGGCAACTGGAAGCTGTAATGGACCCACCCAGACCCTCCAGGCTGGAACCCCAAGACCAAGGCAGGCAGAACAGATAGATGTCAAAGGGGACAGCCCTGTGGGAGGCTGGCCTGGCAGGTTGGAGACCAAGATTTTATTCCCAGCTCTGCCAGAGACTAGCTACAGGGCCCTGGGCAGGCAGCCTGGATATTAAATAAGAGATGGATAAGAACTTGAAGGTTAACTTGTAGAATTTTCCAATGGAACAGATAAGAAAATTCATTTGAGCCCAGGCAAAGGAGGCTGCCTGAGAATGACATACCCACATAGTGACAGTGTGGCTAACTTTAACACCTCAGTCATCTAAACCCAATCACTTCTCCACCTTCCTGTGACAAATAAGGCCAAACCTCCCCTTCTCCAGCCACACTTCCTGTGGCCTTTCACACTCTGGAGCAAGGTGTCCCCATCTTGGGAAGGAAAGTTACCTGGTCAGACCTCTGCCCTGTGTCTCACATGAGTAAGGGACAAAACTACTTGCTCTCCATGTGGCATCCAAGTGGTCTTGTGGAAAATATACACCACCAATCATGTCTATCCCCCAAGTGCCCCCAAATTCTTCCCCACTGTTCAGGGGAACCACGTGGCCCATGGGCCCTGCCCTAGCTGACCTCTGACAGCCTCTGCCCCCACTTCCCCTGAGCTCCCACTCTCTGCTCTGTCCTCACAGCCTCCTTCTACTCTCCCACCTTGCATGTACTACCCCAGTGTTAAAATGTTCTCTGGCCCCTGCCCACTTCTTTGCCCAGTGCTCAGCTCCACTGTCACCTCCTCAGAGAAGCATCTCACCTCCCTGACCATGTCAGATCTTTTCCTAGGCTCCTTAGCACTAGGGTCCACTCTCTGGGACAGAAGTCCCCATGTGGGTGACTGCCTGGTTCCTACTGTCTTTGTCATGGGAGCTGTCTTTGTCAAGCTCTCTGAGTGCAGGGCCAAGCCTTGGTTTCCCTCTCACTTTTATAAGGCAGCACCTAAGGGAAGGCCTAGCATCAACAGACATTAGGTGAAAGAATGAACATCAAAGACTGGAGCAGAACCCTCGGGATGCCTCTTGCATCCTGGCCTGGTGTCTCCCAGCACGGGTCTCCATTTTCTCATCCATTAGCTAGGAGGTGTAGCAGAAGGGGTTGTGGCAGATCAGTGCTTCCCGGCCCTGGCTGTGCTCTGGAACCCCCAGGCAGCTTAAAAATTCTCCCCCTTGAGCCTTATCCATGACAGATTAAGTCAGTATTTCACAGGGGAGCTGGGCCTGGGTGTTTTGCTGTGAGCTTCC